AAATAAGTGATGCTTTTATAGCTTAGAAGACTCTCACAAAACTCAATTGATACAGGGCAATTTCCCCACCTATTCCTTTGCCAAATAAAGGGTTCCTGTCCCTGACATTAAGAATGTCAGGTGGTTCTTATAATTAACTAGTGCGATCAGCAGAGAAATGGGATATTTCTGTCTAGGTTCATGTTTGCCCTCCAGCTTGGCGTGCATACGCACGCACACCCTTCAGAATCACTGCTAGTGCTTCTAATGTGTTATAATTCATGGTGGCAACTTACGAGGAGGGCACGTCAGGGCTGACCTTGCACCAGAAACACATGGCTGCCTTTCCCTGGGCTGCTCTGGGTGCCAAACCTTCTTCCACGGAAATCCATCCGCAGTGCTGCATTGTTTTAGCAGAGATCTTCTGCCGTTATTCAAATAAAACCTTTCCTGAAGGAGGGTTCCCTGTTCACACTTACATTCTTCAAAAGGAAAATAGAACACAGGAAAGAGCAGGTTTGGAAGTGGGTGGAGGAGGACAGAGGTAAGGACAGGCCACACAGACATTTACAAGGACAGCCTGGAGTTTCACCCACTTTGGGGTTGCGGCTCAGGCCAGCCTGTTTACAGTGACACAGCTGATCAAGACATTATACAGGCACACCAGAGAGAAAAGAGTGGGCCCAGGTCAAGCCTGAAACCTGGAGGTAGGAAAATTACTCCAGACACTTTGGGCAATCATATGCCCAAAGCTCACGCAGAGATGAGGGACACCCGGACATAAGGGTAAGGCAGACTCAGAGGACCACATGTTCAGAGTGCTGTGTCTGGTTGTCAGCAGTGCCTAGTTTATAACCAGGAAGCTCCAGGACCTTTACTGCTCTATATTCATATGCATCATTTGCTTTCGGTCTTATAGCAGCCCATCATTGGCAAGATGTCCCATCTTGGCTGTTTGACCATTAATTCCGACACCATAGAGCAGCCGCTGATCCTAATACAAGGCATCTGTGCGAGCCTGGGGCTGGACATGGGCACAGACCTGCACCTAGCCATCAACTGCGCTGCACAGGAGCTCATGGATTATGTAAGTTTCTGCTCCAGGACACTTACTTTTTTGTTGGGTCCCATTATTTTTAAATTAGAACTCAAAAGAAGCATGTATCTGAATATTTTCCAAACAGATCCTATTGCTTTTATTAATATTGTGTGAGGGTTCCACATATAAATGGAGTCGAAAAAGCCAGGTTAGCTAATGACCAGAAAATAACGTAACCATGTAAATTTTAAAAATTAACAGAAAATGTCAAAATAATTACACACAGAAATTCTGTAACAAAAATTGCTAAAATGGGTTGCTTACATTGCAATTGTGAGAGCTATTGAAAATAACAAACTGGTATGTTCTGCTGAGTTCACTCATTTGGCCGGTAGATGCTGAACTTGTCGAGCACGGAAAATGGATCCGTTGTAACTGTAACTTGGTAAGCCTTCTGGCCAAGTAAGTGATTCTGAGTTTCTGCTGTGACTCACTTTTTAAATATAAAAATATTTCCAAGTTGTTGACATTTATGGAGAATATATTTTTATCCAGTTAAGCCCATCCACAGTGTTATCCACAGCCTGGGTTAGGAGGACAGAGCTTTAGCGATGAAACTTCACCCGGAGACGACACCACGGGGGGGGCAATTATTTTAAAAAGAATGGAAAATGGGTTCATTTTTTTAAAAGCTGCAGTCCTCACTTCCTTAGGATAACAGAGCGGCAGTTAACCTTTCAACCTGGGAAGCTGGCATATTCGCAAAACTGTTAAAAGTTGTCTGTCTTCTACACATACTTCCCTTTTTCGAATACACAAATGCAGAGCCTGTGTTGTATACAATGCCCAGCGTGTTGACATACATTTGTGGTGACTTGGTAATCAAGGTCAAATTCGGGGGACGTGGCCAAAGACAATTCCGCTTTAATTCGCAATTCTTTTAACTTCAAAGGAAAACTTGAACAGCATATAAGAACCCTAAGTTTCAGCTGACTTCTAAGCCCTTTTAACTTTTCTAAAGATACTACATGCATGAAGGCAGGTTTAATGTAATTTCCTATTCTCCACATAATGATTGGTTCCTAGGCATACTATTACGAAAAATAATTGCATGTTTTCATCAGGAACGTATACCAAGAACTATGAATATACTGACTGCTAGTGCTGGGCTGGAATGGGTATTTTTTGCTTATATTCAGTGAAATGCATTAGCTTGATATCAGATAATTCTTACAATGTTAATTCAACGTCATTAGCATTTCTTTACTGACAAGATAGGATTTTCAAGGTTTTGCAATAAAGAAACTAAAAGTTCTGGCTGCTTTTTAATCTGAGAAAAGTATAAAATCCTTTCAAGTATGGATTTCTTTGGAACCTGCTCAATTCCAATGGGATCCATTCCATCAGTAGCCATAGCAGGAAGGCGTTAGCAAACCAGTCATTCTGTTCCCTCCTGCCTCCTTCCCGGTACCTGAATAACCCAGGGGCATCCCTGAACACAGACTTGGAAATCCGTGCTAGGTTTTGCAGACAGACGACACTCAATCCTTTAGCCCCGTTTACTTCCATTCTTGATGACGGGGGTTGCTTTCCAGACTTCAAATGAATGGAGTTGACCTAGAACTCCTTCGGGACCATATGGGTACTGGTAGAGCATGCACACTACCTGAGAAGGAGATGCCTTCACATGGGTCACCGGGCATTTCAGAGTGGCTGTTCGTATCTCCAAAGCCTCACCCTGCTTTCAAATTTTAGGATATTCACGGTGCAGGAGACCAGCTGTTTGTTTACTGAGAGTGGAAAGGTGGTGGGTTCTGGTGAGTGGGAAGCTAGGCACTGCTGTCCCGCTTTATAAATTCATGTCATCGCCCGAGGACCCCAGCATGGCCCGTCACAAGCCTAAGTAAGAAATTAGTCCCCTGCTACTGTGTACCTGGTCTTGTGCGGAGAAAGCTTCATCTGAAGTCCGTGGGAGGAGCTCCATGGGGCATGAAGAGGAATGGTGACGTGATTTCCCCAGGCTAATATTTAACAGATACTTAAACAAAAGTACACAGATGTCTCATGGGAATACAGCCCGAAAAGAATGTTTACAATCTTTTGTAGGCAATGAATAAACGCGAATGGGAATCCCGCCTTTCGCCTTCGAGGAATTCCTCATTTATCTTTATTTTGTTATTGTCCTTCCGCTTGCCAGAATAGAGGAAAGTATGAAGTGATGCTGGGAACACACAAAAACGCAGCGGAGATGGTTGACCTGTACGTGGATCTGATCAACAGGTTCCCTTCAATTATCGCCTTAATCGATCCTTTCAGGAAGGAGGTAACGGGAGTCACCTTGAATTTTATAACAGCACAGAGCAAAATCTCATTCTTTTGGCTTGGTCGCTGGAAACACTGCCATCTGGGCTGGGGCAGAGGGGCTTTCCTTCAGCACAGGTGAATGGGGCACGCACCAAGCAAGCACAGAGCCCAAGCACAACGGCCTGGGAGTATGCCTGTGTGCAGAACGAACAAGCTCTTCCCGGGCAGTCGGGGGAGGGGGGGTCCCGTGTTTTCACAAGCAGCCCGGGGACAGCCAGCCAGCCACCTGCCAGTGGGCCCGTCCCACGCCCATGCTAACACGACCGGAAACTTGACCTCGGCTGGGCCCCATGTGCCCAACCTCCATCTACTTACCACACACGCAGGGAAGTCGCAAAGCCGGATTTTTAAAAAGGTTTCAGATGGTGAGGTTCTTCCATCTACTCAAGCTACGGCATCCCACGCGGGTTGTTCGCGTGCTCTCCCTGACGCTCGGAGACTCCAAAACTTAAGTTCTTGACGGTATGGCGTGGAGAGAACCATTAGATACACTGAACAGACCCGCCCTCTCGGAGATCAGGCCCGGATTTGAAGGTGGGGCCCGAGAAGAGAGCTGCGTCGCGCTCGGGGTCCCAGGGCCTCGCTCGGCCACCGGTCCTGTCACCACCCGCGCCACAGCCCCACGCCCGCCGAGCCGCAACCCAGCTCTGTATCCTGTTGGCCCCTGTCTTCCAGGCCTTGTCCCCGGGCTCTGGCCTCGGCTGCTTTTCCTTTGGCAAGATGGCCTGTGTTTGGGCTGTTCTGGTGGGATAGGTCGGAATCGGGTACAGTGGCGTGGGAGACTTTGTAGACCATCAGTTAAAAAACACTAAGTCTCTCATTTCTTTTTTTTTTTTTTTTAAAGATTTTATTTATTTATTTGACCAGAGAGAGAGACACAGCGAGAGGGAACACAAGCAGGGGGAGTGGGAGAGGGAGAAGCAGGCTTCCTGCTGAGCAGGGAGCCTGATGCGAGGCTCGATCCCAGGACCCTGGGATCATGACCTGAGCCGAAGGCAGACGCTTAACGACTGAGCCACCCAGGCGCCCCTAAGTCTTTCATTTCATGTGATGGTCTCCCCAGTAAAAACGAGAGTGCTGAGAAGGAGAGCCTAGAGCCCTCACAGGCTCATTTCCTTCTGTTTTCTGTTCACCAGAAAGAACAGTAGAATCTTCTGGCCAGCCAGTTGTTGGTGGTGTTATGGATAATTCAGTGGGTAGGAATAGCTTGGGTTCAAAGGACTTCAGAATCGATGTGGAGCATTTACTGTGTGTTAAACATTTTATCCATCAGATCTTTAAGCTCAAATTTAATCATTTGAAGTTTCTGTTGAATGAAGCTAGTTAATTTGTGTGGCTGTGGTTCAGGCATCATTCAGCCGCAGAAACAACAGAAAACTGTTTTGTGGATCTCTGAAAGGTGTTTAACTCTGAGGAGGAGCTGTAGGGTTCCTGTTGTTTTGTGATCATGCTTAAGCCATTGTAACGATCGGCTCTTCAATATTTACCCAGGACTCCGAACAGTGGGACAGCATCTGTAATGCTCTTGGTTCCAGGTGTTACATCATTGCAGAAGCTGCATCCAAAAGCATTTCGAAACTTCTAGAGGGTGGCGACATCAGCACCCCCAAATCCAGCGGGCTGATCATCAAACATACCAACCAAACCACGATGTCTGACTTGGTGGAAATAACCAATCTTCTTGACAGTGAGTAGAAGTAATAGGTCTACAAGACTCATGAGGAACTGAGCTTGGTTACACAAGGAGCCAAAAAGATGCAATTTGTCAGTTAATAAAAAGCATGGTGTGAATCTTGGAAGAAAAGCAGATTTCCAGCCGTTTGTGAGAGCTCTACTACTGGGAGACCATTTGCAGCTAGCTCACCGATCGACTTCCCGGGGGTCCCACCGCAGTCCCAGCCCAGGAGGCCCCCCCCCAGGGGGAGCCGTCCCACAGGTGTGGCTGAGGACAGTGCCCTATCAGCTTCACACCACAGGACAGTGATCCCGCTTGCCCGCCCTGAGGTTTTAAAAATTCCTCACAAGTTTCAAACTCTTTGCCAGTGTGAGGTCTGTGAACGTGCTTTGCCTTGTACCATTTACTCGGCTAACTACTCCGGATCCTTCACGTCTTTCCTTAAAGGAAACCTTTTCAGATATATATGACTTTCCTGGCTTCCCCCACCCTTACCTGCTTGCTCTGAACCTCCCTCATAGCTCCCTGTACTTTCTCCTTGTAGTACTGGCCACAATTACGTGTACGAATATTTAATGTCTGGTGGCCCCCCTACTGGACCATAGAGTCCCCTGAGTTCACAGGAGTCTTTTTCAGTGCCTGAAACATGAGTAGGTCTCAGGAACTAGGCAGAAGGCTTGTCTAAGACCTGGAGCAGGGCTCAGAGCCAGGCTGGCGGCCAGGGGCCTGGGCTGGTGCCAGACAATGGCATGGAGTGTGCTTGTGTCCCTTGTCCTGCAGACGGCCCAGGTTAGGGCCCAGGGAGGGCGGTCCTGTAGGTGATCGATGGGAGGCCCCAGCCCTGGCCTTTCCTCCAGGGGCCAGCACTCAGCAGGCATGCTGTCGTCCACCTCGACTGCCACTGTAGCTCCTGCCTCAGAAACACCAAACACCGTCTCTGGAGAAAGAACCTTGGCTTGCATTCTTTGTAGACTTGGCAAACTTCAGGGGGTTCTGAGCTCCTCAAATTTGGATTAAGGACCATCAACACTGCTGTTCTAGTCAGTTAACATTCAGAACGACAGATTCCTTTGAATATAATTCTCCACGATGAGTTGCGAAATCCAGTAAGGCATATCAGCTCTCCAAATGACTCCCTTGCACTTCTCAAAGGTGCACACTTTTCTACAGTGAACATGGACAAGATGGAGTCATGTCTTACAGCTGTGGTCTTAGAAACAGGTCAACCTCATCTGAGCATTTTCCCCCTTCAGTGGTCCTAAAGGTCTTACAATTTATGGTATCTTAAATCTGATGAAATTTGGCATTCGTGTAGTATTTAGCATCTGAGCTACTGGAAAGAGATAAACAGATAAAACCAGGGTAGTAAAAATACAAATGTTTAGGTCAGAATTCTCTGGTGGTCAAATCATTGACTCTTCCCAGGAACGTTATAAATCTTGGCAAATTTTAAATTTTGGTTCCAGAGGCTCATGTGTGTGTGTGTATACACATTTACACATATATACACATACATTTGTATTTATATGCACATATATGTATACACACATATACACGCATACATACATGTCTGTCTGTGTGTGTGCATATATCTCTCTCTCTATATATACATACATATATATGCCCTTATGCTCATGGTTTCCATGCCATCTAAACCTGAAAAGAATTCCTCTGCTCACAGGTAAGAAGCGCATCGCTGTCTTTGGAAGTACAGAAGGAGAGTCGTCTGATGACAGCCTGGTCGATTTGGTAAGTACTGAAAGCTGGTCAATTGCAGAATTGCCAAAACACTGCTTTTATCACGAATTGGTATTTCAGAGAAATGCAGTCTTTGGCGGAGAAAGTCATGTAACCTTTTATGAAATAGACTTGCTTCCTCCCAGCCAGCTACCTTTTGCAAAGAGCTAATCTTTGAACTTTTAAAAAGAAGAAAAATTGAAGTCCTGGGAGAATGATGAGCACACTTAAATGGCTGGGGGGTGCACTTGCAATCTTAGCGCCTAAAATGAAGCGAGAAAGGCCACAACGTTCTTAGATAAGATCAGCGTGCTCACATGACGAGTAAAGCATCTGATACGTAGTCATGCTGTTTACCTCTTGCCACTCTCGGTCTGCAAGCAGGCCACCTTACCTACATAAAGATAAAATACAAAGTTGTAAGAGAAAAACCAAAACAGCACAGTGCCAGTGCCCTTTCTCCCTAAAGAGCTGTTTGTATCTTAGCAAAACGTGAGTTCTTGTTTAATATCAATTTTGTCCCCCCACTCCTACCCCCCTGAAGGCCATCGGACTCGGTGTCCGGTTTATCAAGTTGGGAGGTCTTTCTCGCGGCGAGCGGGTAACTAAGTACAACCGCCTTTTTACTATAGAGGAAGAACTTGTCCAGAATGGAACACTGGGTACGTGCGGCTTTCTTGTTTTGTTTTCACTTAGCCATGAATAAGAGAACAAAGATTGGAAGAAGGGGAATAGGAGGCCCTCGGCAGGAGGGCAGGGGAATCCAAAGACTATAACTAAGTGCTGACAAAACTAGGGTGGCATTTGCCACAATGTGCATTGTTTTCTTAATGGATCATCTATTTACCTGGATGTTTCAAACTCTCGCCCTTCTTCTGGATGAATAAGCTGCATGGTGCTTTTCAATAGAATTAATTGATTGGAATCTCCAAGCCTACCTTTTGTTATGGTCCAAATTATAGCTAAGGTCTCTCTGACAGCCCCTGAAAAGCTAAAGGCAGATGTTTTCCTGACGATTCTTGAAAACAACTCCTTGTACTTAAGCAGACAGCATGTTAAGTTTAACGTCATAATAAGGCTGTGGTCTCGAGAGAAACGAACCAATCATTTAGGAAGTCAAACCTCTGCAAATTTGCATGCATAGAAGGCAACTTGTGTACTGGCTAATTGGAGAAAAATAGCCCAAAGATGCATTTTTACCCTTCACAGGGCTGTGATGGCCAAAAACAGGTGCAGAGCACACAGAGGTATTTAAAGAGACCAAGTTATTGTCTTTGTAATTCTAAAAACAGTTTGCATTTTACGATAGAATAAACAAATCACTATGCTGGGAAAAAAGTGTTTAAGTAGTATTGACAAAGTATGAAATTTTCTTGGATGCTATACCTGAAATCTATTAAATGATAAATGTATTAGGGCCTGTTCTGTAGGGCAAACCAGTTCTTGCATATGACAGCAAGCAAGTAGTCCTATGTGGGGCCTCAGGATATACATTGAAAAAATAAAGAAGCCAATAGAAATTGTAATTAGGAATTTGTCATGTTTAACATGTCATGACCTGGAAACACACCCTAAGCGTCATAGAAAATAAAAATATAATTGAGAGATTCTTTTAGAGCAATCAAAAGTTAGTCTTTGTTGTTCAGTGTGTGACACAGGGCTTGTTTTTTCAAATAGGTAAAATCATGTTGTTCCTACGTATTACCTGGTGGATTTTTTTTTTTTTTTTTTAATGTCATCCTGACTTGTGAAAGCCTTAAGTTCCTAAATGGCCCATCACATCTCCAGCCAGACTTCACCACAAGAGAACCAGCAGCTTCCAGGCATCAGAAAGGATAGTGACCCGGAGGCCCAGCCCCTCCCTCGGGGCCAGAGCCAAGCCTTGGGCATTCTGGACTAGATTAACAGATTACAGGCATGCCTCATTTCATTGCACTTTGCTTTACTACTCAGATACTGCATTTTGTACAGAATGAAGGTTTGTGACAACCCTGCGTTGAGCAAATCGCTGGGCACCATTTTTTCCAACAGCATTTGCTCACTTCATGTCTCTGTGTCTTGTTTTAGTCATTCTTGCAAAAAATGATGATCAGTGGTTCGCTGAGAGCTCAGATGATCGTTAGCATTTTTTAGCAATGAAGTATTTTTATTTAAGGTAGGCACATTGTTTTAGACATAATGCTATTTATTGCACACTTCACAGACTACAGCATAGTGTGAACCTAACTTTTATATACATTTAAAAACCAAAAAATTCTCAAGACTTGCTTTATTGCAGTGGTCCAGAACCACACCAACGGGATCTCGGAGGTGTGCCTGTGATGAGAATTTCTCTGTCACTGGCCTGTGGTCAATACACCCTATTGACAGTGGTCGATAAATGGGAAGGGGACCCAGAACTGGAAAGACGGATCTCCCCACTGAGAGAAGTAGGAAATCCTGTAAAAGCTCAGCTATTAACTGAGCACTGTCACTGCCCACATGGACCCGACTGGAACTGAGTCTGCAGTCGTCCGCGTGGGAATGCTTAGTTGGCAATGGTCTGTACTCACGTAGTGGACTGGCCTCTCCTCTTCCTCTGCTCCTCTTCCGCTAAGCCTCTGCCCAAAGTCCACTGCGCACCAAATGTTCCAGAGGGCACCATGCAGACCGAGCAAAACAAGTGTATTGCACAGTTAATGTCTGAGCAAAGTCAGGCCCAGTTCTAAATGGTCCCAGGACCTTTTCTAATGGTGAGGGGACACCTCTGGGCAGTCCTGAAGATAGTCTCCTTTACGTCACAGAACAAAAAACATCAAACTCGGCACCACTGGATTTGACACTAAACTTTATTGTTGTTGTTGTTGAATAGGTTTCAATGAAGAACACACATTTTTTCCCTTGAATGACGAAGCGGAAAAGGGGACCGAGGCACCCGAGGCTGCGGCCACCGTGGCTGGTGAGCCGCCCGAGCTCCTGGAGCCCGTCTTCCCCACAGAAGTGATGGAGTCATCGGCCAAAGCATGAGTGTCTTCTGGACAGGGCTGGGGACACCCCGGCTTTCGGCCACACCGCTAGCATGAGACCCCCAGAACCCCAGTGTGTCCTCACGTGAGGCTTTGCTCTAAAACATCCCTAACCAGCGTGCTCTTTTTATTCTTGTGATTTCACTGTTTGGTGACATTGATATGTAGGGTTTCTGCCCGAAATTACACCTGTAAGCTGTCTTCCAGACATCCCATTTCCATGGGGCTTTCGTTTGTGTACCAGCTCTCCTGTCCCCTCGGGGAGCCACGACCTAGGAAGAGAGTCCAGTACCTGTTGCTGAGCGCACACTCGGTGCCCGAAAGCACAGGCACATTTTTGTGGCCAGCCTCGTGCAGGAAGAAGTGTGAGAACTTCAGCTTTTTTAACAGCCAAACAGCTGCTTCTTACTTCCTTACCCTTAATTCCCTTTTCCCTGCTTCCCTCCTCTTACATTTTCATCTTTATTATATTACTTACATGCTTATGGGTGTCCTAAGATCCTTTTTGGAAAAAGAAGTATAAATGAATAAACCCATCAGTAAATGGATAAATAATCTTAAGGTAATTAACTGCTCAATTATTTATGCAACAGCATCTAACGGGGGACTAAAAATGATCTATCATACAGGCTGACGAAATGCTTCTCGTGAGCCGGTATCAGGGTTATAGAAGAAAAGTACCAGAAATAAATTTATTCAAACACGTACCTATAGAAAGAATAATGTCCTACCGCTTTATATATTTTAGAGTCTCTGTTTAAAGTTACCATTTGCTTTCCTCCAGAATTATAAAAATTGTTATATACTGACCTATAGGAGCGTTGGCTAAGTTGAGATTTCGGATACATTCTGTAAGTTTTTACTAAGTACACTGAGGAACTTTTCCTTTTGAAGAGTGCCCATAGGGAAACTTGATGGCCTCATGGTAAAGCCAGGGCCTTATGCTCATAGCAATGATTTGAAGTTGGCTCAGGGGCACATTCTCTCAGAGCCCAGGGCAGGAGGACTGGTTGGCATCTAAGCTGCGAGAACCGTGTCTCAGTTTGTGGTTGTTACTGCCTGTCCTGAGGCTTAGCATCACATAATAGGGTACGAGAGACAGGAAGGAAAATCCATTTATTTATGGGGTGGTTTTTTTTGTTTGTTTGTTTGTTTTAAGAGAGAGAAAGGGAAAGAGAGTGTGGGGGGAGGGACAGAAGAAGAGGGAGAGAGAGAATCTCCAACAGACTTGGGGCTCAGTCTCACAACCCTGAGATCATGACCTGAGCCAAAATCAAAAGTCAGATGCTTAACAGACTGAGCCACCCAGGCGCCCCTGAAAAATTCATTTTAAAGGTGGGCAGGACATGACTGGGTGTTCACGTAGCCTTTGCACATGTCCACACACACACGGAATAAAAGGGGAGATCACTGGAGAGTCTGCCCTGGAATCCTTAGCATGAATTATAATTAAATGAATGGAACCAGAGCAAAAATATACAAACTAAGTCAGTAACAAAATTAAATTAACCAAAGAGGTCATTTATTACCTCAACCAGGTCAGGGCTTTCATTTCAACACAGGGCACAGCCCATCCACCTTTTCCTCACTTGACTGGGGTCACCAACGGAGAGGGAACATTCTAGTATCTCAAAGTGATGAACACAGTTTCCACTTCTATCTTCTCTCTCTCTCCATACGTATATGTTAATATGTCATCGGTATAAAACATGTAACATACACTATATAGAAGTTATTACCTATAAAAGAAGTAAAAGAGACTACTCATACCCCATGTAAATCAGTGACAGTAGGACTGGGGAATGTTAGTGCCAGGGAGAAACTTCCAAACCAATTGAATCTGTTACATAAAGGCTGCTTGATGATCCTTCTAAGGTCAGCGATGATGACGGACAGCTGTCCCCTCTCCACAGAGTACTGCCAGATGAGCTGACGTCGTTCCATGATGAAAGCGATTCAACACACACAGAAAAATCATCCAGGATTCTGTAACATGGACTAGCATTTACCTAACCTACAACCTTACGATGGCCTGGAAAGAGAACGAACAACCATTTGTACCTGTACTACTCCATTTCCAACACATCGTTTGTTAACAAAGCAGGTGAGGAAAGAGGAGTGGCTGGTGAGTGGCCAGAGCCACGCCACCCCTCCTTTTCACTCATTTATAATTTTCTTGTGCAAATAGCTAAGAACGTACCCTGCAGATGCGAGCCCTAGTCTTCCTGCGTCTTCCCGTTCTGGACTGTTTGCTGACTAAGGGCACCCCAGCAGGGGCAAAACCTCCTCAAAACCGATGTGAAAAGGAATACTGCTGGCAGAACAAGGGGACTAAAATCCTGTATCAAATACCTTTCTGTCAAACTAATTCTCAAAGCTTTGTGATCACCAGGAAGTAAGAAAGCAACTTGGAAAAGGCAAGAACACTTTCAAACACCAGGTACTAACTGTTGCCTGGCCCAGCGAACACACCTCACCAAGCGGTTACCTCCTCACCCTGGAAACGACAGTGTTTTCCTAAGTGCATCATCCTGCTGACGTGTGTGATGAAATACGGAATGACGAGTCTGTGTGTCTTTATATTCCTAAGTGTATGTAAAGCACGTTGCCAGCAGGCTCATGACAGACCCAGAAAGGAGAGCATGAAGAAATACGGGATAAAATTCCTCAGAATAAACCACTGTGCAGATTATTAACAACTATTAAAATTATCGACTCTTAGGCAGTTTTTTTACTAAAGAGTGACCAATTTGGGGAACTCAACCAAAACTGTCAATAACCACAGTGAACCTTTAGTGGGAAATTGTCAGTGCTTTTTAATAAGTGTGCCGAGGAGAGTTCAAATCACAGCATAACAGAACTTGTTTAAGAGTTAATGCACCCTGTAGTTGGTGTATCATATAGCAGTATTATTCGATTAGGAAAATTACAGTTGGAAAACATTACATTTTAATTCCCCGTGAGTAAACCGATAACTGTAAAATCATCACTGGAAGAACATGGAAACAGTCAAGCATAACAAACCTACGGAAGGGTAATTATCTCCAAATTTAGGAAGTACATTGATTTACCTGCCTACCCACCTCTTCAAGCCTACGCTTAGCACACGTGCAAAAATAAAACACAACTACTCCCATTATTACTATCATTTTCTTTTGCCCTTAGGTGAGGAACACCTGACAGCTACATGCTGAACCACGCTAACAAAACTAAACCTTTCACTTTCTTTAATAGTAAAATTACCATTATTGAATCATTGTCATAAAAAATGCATTCAAGTACATTACCACTTATTTTAAATAAACACCAATTTGGAAACAATCAACTTGGGAAAAGCTGTATAAGTTTTTTTTCTTTTTTTTTTAATCCCTGATTACATTTCTATTTATTCACTGTGGTAGACTGAAACATTGTATTTTTAGAGACTAACTACCACTTAATTTCTTTAAAAAAACACACACACACAACAAACCTGTGTAATGCAGAACAGCAGTGAAGCAAGAAAACTGTGTGCTTGTCACTTCTTGTCACTGTGCAGAAGAATCGCGATGAAGAATCAGAAGAATCGCGAGAAACCACGGTATTGGTGCCACTCGGTACGGGAGAAAACACCACGAGCTCGGAGCACAGAGCACATGGTTTACTAAGATAATACTCTACGAAACCCAAGGTTGGGACTTTCCCCTCCATTCTGCATTTGGGCCACCACCGCGTTCCCACTGGAGTCCTTGGGAGGCTTTGGACACAGTCAGTGGTGCACATTCCCCGTCCCATAGCCGACAAAGCGTGCAATTAGCCTGGACTCCGGGAGGGCTGGTTGGATGTCTGCAGCTCCTGAGTTTGAAGCTCAGCTCGGTATATCCTAGAGGAATCTGTCCGCCACAGCACCTCGCAATTTCCACACTGCTGTGGTTTCTCTCTCCAACGAAGATCAGACCTAAAACAGAAGCTGCTTTGGGGCCGGGGGCGGGGGGTGGTTTCTTAAATCACCTTAAGTTGGTCAGTTCTGTTTATCCACTTATCCACAATGCTGCCAACTTTGAGCATTACACTTGATGAATGGTATGCATGTTACCTAAAAAGACAGACATCCGAATTTTCTGCAACCTTCTAAAAGAAGTCACAATACAGTAATTCGAGAAAAAACATCTTATCCCTAGGAAGAAAAACAAAACCTACACAGGATGTGTATTTTGCTGAACTTACTTATGTTTATAGGTAAATTACTTACAAAAGTGACACTAGAAAAGAGCCCGCATTCTGAGTACAGTGACCAGAACAGAATATCTATGGCGCTTGCCAATACGCCAGAACTGATCGCGTACCCCTCGGAAAGGGCTTGTACACCTGTCAGCCTTCCGGTGTGCAGATCAGCAGTGGGAGCTGTCTGTGTCTCTCATTTTTTCAATGCCGTCTTCTTTGTGTTCTGGTTTAATTTCATCTTCGCCATCCTTGCATTGAGTGGAATCTTTTTCAGTGACCTGGTCTTTGGTTTGGGGTTCGTGTGTGGAAACAGGATCTAAAACTACAACGGGTCCAGCTTGTTGCTCACGGCCAAAGCACTCGCTCTTGCATCCGGCGTTACTGAGAGGCCTGGAGGAAGAACAGTTACACAAAACAATAAAAAGCAGAGAGAGAAAATATTTGGCTTTCATATTCCTGGATTCAGACCAACAAAAAAACCCCAAATGCTCTAAGTCTAATTAACATGCACAAAGTGGTCTCTGAGGTGCCAGCCATTAAAAGAAAAAGGAGCTATTAGATGACATTAGGAGCACAAGGCCAGAAGAAAGAAGGCGGAAAAAGTCAGAGCAATTAGCTATGGAAGTGTTAAAAAGCCAAATGCACCTACCTGCTTAATTACACACTCTTCTCAAGAAGTGCAAAGCTCCTGGGTGCCGCGTGCGGGCCTCCCTACTGCCTGCTGCCCAGACTCCTGTCCCACCTTCACTTAGCCAGAAGGAGCCATTTAACTCCCCCCCAAACTCCGCCTGTCCCTGGGGACATCTGGGGGCAGACTAGCTCCAAGGAGACCACACTGCTGAGGGAAGCAAGCCACCCCCCATCACGGACGGACAGCTGCGAGACGCGCCCGCTCCTGCCATTACTGACAAGAAGAAAGCTGGTCCGACCCGGGGAGGGGTGAGGGAGGAGCTAGGGCAGACGGAAGAATCCAGAGAATAAGCTAAAACGCTAAGTGACCATAAACTTTTTCTAAAACGGAGATTCATGTTTCTTGAGAAATTTCTTAAGGAATTTTAGAAGCAGTTTCTTTCTCCATGGATACTTCCTTTCTTTCTATTCTGATGCAAGAAGATACTGCTTCTCAAGCTACGTGACAGTTTCCTTGTGTCCATGTGTTCTCTTGCCATGTGTCAGGAAATTAGGCTGTTGGCACCTACTCCTCTCAGGAGTCCTGGTCAGAGGCCACCATCTGAAGGTACTGGGCTACTGACCTGGGGCCTGAAGGTTGAGGGGTATGCCGCAAGCAGGACTGGGCCTCTTCAGATGCATCTGGTCTTCTTGGCAAATGCTAAGATGTTAAGCACGAACCAGCACACCCCCGTCCCACCTCTGGACGTCAGGACATGTAGTGGGGAGCCCACTGCTCGACCCACCCCCTGGAGCAGGCCAGACCCGCCAGTCTGACACTCCCTTACCATCTGCTCCTTCTCCCTTCTTGGACTCAGCACAGTCATTAAGGAATACCGTGTAATTAGCTGTTTAACGTCTGTCTCTTCAAATAAAACGTCAGCATCCACGAAACGGCCTGTTTAGCTTTGTTCACATTTCTACCCCGGCACCTAGCACGGATCCACTTGTGGCATAAATGAGTGGATACTAATCAAGTGTGGGAGGCTCAGAAACCCAGGCTTTGGTGTGAATAGGTCTGGAGGTCTCTCATATGAGACAAAAACAGAACAAATGCTCATCTACTGAGAAAAAGCAGCCTGCAGGATCCAGCCGCAGGTACCGAACACTCAAACCTCACCCACGACCAGGGTCTTCTCACTTTCTGACCAGCACTATGAAATCTGTCCAAAAGCCTAGAAACCACTCCCTCTGGCTACCTGGTTATACTGTCACTTGTTGATGATGAGCAGGTCACAAACCCACAGCTGTCTTGTGTGGCAGTGGTGAAAGCGCTGGGATGGCCAGAAGCCTGAGAGGGAGGCCGGATCCATGCTTTGGGAATCAACAGGGGATGCGGTTTCCCCAGTGGTACCTGGTTTGACCTTCTCAGACCCAGGCAACACCTGGAAGACAGTGTCCACTAGGGTGTGGGCAGAGGAGCAGAACCACTGCGAGAGAGACATGGGCTCTACGATCGGAATTAGTCATCGGGCAAGGGCGAGAGCTAATGAGGCAGTCAGGGAAGTCAGTGGCCTCTGCGTCGGAGGCTGGGCCTGAAGTCCACAGTTCTGGCAAGGAACAGGAAGATGGCAAGAGATCGAAGACAAATCAGAGGTGCATCTGTCCTTCCCAGTCTCCAACCCCCACGATGCAGACAACCTGCAGGACACACTGGAGCCTTCCACAGGGAACTGCACACGTACCTGGTCTAACATTTGGAAAAGCTGGAGTAGTTGGGGGGGATCTGGGAAAACTGGGCCAACTAGGTGATACCTCCCATGAACCGTAGCAGCGCCTGCCCTACGTGGACCCTCCGAGCCTTTAGAACAAAACAAAACAGAAATGACCACTATGTCACTTCTACCTTCTAAATCTCATGCAAAGTTCTCTTGTGGTCAACCCTAACCTGGAAACAAAGGGGCAAGGGGATTTTAGGAAATGAAGCGCCAGCCCAGCGAGTTGTTCCAGTCAAAGCCACAACCAGTGGCAGTTACCAGTCCGCCTCTACCGTCTTGCGGTAGAGCCCACCGCTAGCTAAGTCAGCTGGTCTGCTCTAAGCATGCAAAGGAAGCTTCACCTCATTCTAGATGAGCAACTTCCATCAACCCATACTGACCTTCATCCCTTCTGCAGAGCTACCACGGATGTTTTCACGCCCGTATGTGTCTGCAAGTGAAGGGGGGATGACCACATCCTAAAAAAGCTTTCTGCCTCAGCTGGAGGTGAAAACTTCCAGGGGATGTTCTCAGGGCACAGGTACAAAAAGACAACTGGATATCGACTGAACTGAAGACTCAGAAACCTTGTGTGGTCAGGATGAAATTGGCCTCGAATTGTCTCTGTCCAGAGAATTACTCTTCTTTCCTGAAGTAAGTTTCTCAACTGCAGATTAATCTATTATTAAGTCACCCATAGGCTACAATTTGAGAACTCCTTTGTTGATTATTGCTGAACTTGGCACGGTGGGCACTTTCTTTGAATCTCTGTGCTGAGAGTCAGAGTAACCGATTTCTCCAGGATAACAACCGCTGACTTGGAATCCCAAAGGGTTAAGGTTAAAAGGGGCTATAGCAATCATCGAGTCCAACTGGTCCTTTAACAGATGAGAAAAACGAGGTTTGGAGGGGGAGAACCTGGCCTAGATCATGCAGCTCATCAGTGGCAGAATCAGAACAAGAATTAGGAGCCATCTCCATTTTCCTGCCTTCTCCATGCAGCTTACCCAAAGTGGCTTCTTCTAGAAACAGGATGATGATGCCACAGGTTAATTTTGGCATGTTTGCTGATTTAGGTCTTTCTGACTCTGTTTTCAGATGCATCTTTCAGAGTCTGTCCCTTCAAGCTATCCCTTGCCATTTTTCCCTCTGTGACTGGTAACTCCTCTGGACTTGACACATTAGGCCTATTCCTGGTTCCCATGGGGAAGGAGGGACCTCCCAGAAGGAACGAGGGACCTTCCTCTGCAGCCTCCCTCTCGCTCCACCCCCATCTCACAGGAAGAGCCAGAGAGTGCCAGCAGTGAAGGTGCCAAGAGCCCAGGCTCTTGCTTTGGGCAGCCATAGTGGTAGATTCTAGCAGGTCAAAGCTTCTCCCCTAACGTAAAGTCCCAGGTGCTCAAATGCAACAATCCAATAGGAATTACAGTAAACTATCACTCTGTTCCATTTTTCTGCTTTAATTCTTCATCTGAAGGGTAGTGACCACAAATAAGGAATTAATATTTAGTACTCATGGAGAGTATGGCAGATCTTCTCCTGTATGCTACAAAATCTCCAAGTAAAACTTAGATGTTATAGGTGTTACATAAAGTAAGACTAAGCTCATGTGTTATTCAGGCTGAAAGGCATTACAGACATGAACTAGTCCAACCTTTGCATCTGTCAGATGAAGACACCAAAGACTAGTGAGTTAACTGATCTGCCCAAGGGCACACACCTTGTTAAGGGCAGACACAGGACTAAAATCTTAGCATCTGGATTTCCTGTCTGGTTGGTTGTTTTTTTTTTTTTTTTCCCTTATCACAACATACTGGTAGTCATTTATGATCCATTCAAAATATTTTTATAGATCATTTTAGATGGCTTGCTCAAGAGCTATTCCAAGACAAAAAGAAAAACCAAAAAGCAAAATAAAAGCTAAGAGGCAATGCAGCGATCTGTGCCGCTTTAGGAAGCGGATGGGTGCCCTTTTAGAAAGCAGCTATGCTTCCCCAGCTGCAAGGGGTGGCATGTGGGGCCACTCGGTAGTCAGAGAAAGGACCTGACTCCAAAGCACAGGGCACCAGAAGCACCTGAACAATTGTAAACAGCACTGCCAAAGCTGAACTTTCAGAAAGGGGCTCCGTGATTCTTCAGACTGTGTTACGAGAGACCAAAGAGCAGCATTCTAATTTTTAAAAAAGCACATCATTGTTTGCATTCAATGAAACTCCTTTCAAAATCAACTTTCCACATTCCAATTATATTCAACAACATTCTAGCTAACATTTCGGCTGCAATTCAAATTAACTAATGCCCAAAAGAGCCCTAATAGACGTGGTTCTGAGCTCAATTGAATACAATCAAAGCTCATGAAATGAAGGGGGAAATGCTTATTTCATGCAAATTCTGCATATCACTCAAGCTTAATTTTACTGATAATATAAAGGTGGGACATTTTGAACATTACAGTGAATGAAACTTTTAAGCAGTGAGAGTTATTTTATAAAATGCTACCTCTGAAAAGCTGATTGCCAAACAGTATAAAAATGGTTTGAGGCATAAATGCCAAGTTCATTTCTACTTCACTTCTGAGGTAACTATCTTTCAAATCGCAACAGCTGGACTATTTAACACAATCTGGTGAATCAAAGTATAGTTCTTCTCCGGTCTCCCAGTGGGACGTCTGCATTAGTCGGTGGCAGCCATCCAGCAAATGACGCACAGCCGGACGGTCTGAACTCTGTTTCATTTACCATAAAAATGAATAAAGCCGCAATCATATTTACCACCTCCAAGGACAGAAAACGGAAAGATTTAAATTCGTCTTTATAAAACAGTTTCCTGGGAAAACTCCAAAGAGGAAGTCAGTTTTTATATTTTTCCCCCTGGTGTAAAAATAAGAAGACTGATTTGTTTTCGAAGCCCTTTATGCAGTTGCTCGAGAGCAGCTCTATAGCAGAGGTGGTGTTCGTTGTTTCCCTCAGACACCCTCCTTTTTCGGGAGATTTTAATACACTTGTCCAAAATCTCCCAGAAGAG